TGGCTCACACCTGTAATCCTAGCACTTTGGGAGGTCAGGTGGGCAGATCGCCTGAGAACAGGAGTTCAAGACTAGCCTGGGCAACATGGCATAACCCCATCTCTACTAAAAACACAAAAATTAGCCAGGTGTGGTGGCAGTTGCCTGTAATCCCAGCTACTAAGGAGGCTGAAGCAGAAGAATCACTAGAACCAGTGAGCCAAGATTGAACCATTGTACTCCAACCTAGCCAACAGAGCAAGATTCTGTCGAAAAGAAGGGGCGAGGAGGGGGAAGGGGAGGGGTGAAGGGAGAGAAGAGAAGGGAAGGAAACAGAAGGGACAGAAGAGAAGACGTGGGGAGGGAGGGAGGGAAAGGAAGACAGGAAAGGAAGAAAGGAAAAGGAGGAAGAAAGAAAAGGAAAGGAAAAAGGGAGGGATCCTCAGTGAGGCTGGGCACAGGAGGGAGAGACAGAGGGAGGGAGACACAGAGGGAGGGAGGGAGGGAGGGATCCTCAGTGAGGCTGGGCACATGAGGGAGAGACACAGAGGGAGGGATCCTCAGTGAGGCTGGGCACATGAGGGAGAGACGCGGAGGGAGGGATCCTCAGTGAGGCTGGGCACATGAGGGAGAGACACAGAGGGAGGGATCCTCAGTGAGGCTGGGCACATGAGGGAGAGACACGGAGGGAGGGATCCTCAGTGAGGCTGGGCGCAGAGGGAGAGACGAGGGAGGGAGGGATCCTCAGTGAGGCTGGGCGCTAGAGGGAGGAAGGAGGGAGGGAAGGAGGGAGGGAGGGAGGGAAAGAGGGAGGAAGGGAAGAATACTCAGTGAGGCTGAGCATGTGGCTTCTGCCTGTAATCTCAGCACTTTGGGAAGCCATGACAAGGAGATCACTCAAGCCTAGGAATTTGAGACAAGCCTGGGCAACATGGCAAAACCCCATCTCTACAAAAAAAATACAAAAATTAGCCAGGTGTGGTGGCGTGTGCCTGTAGTCCTAGCTATTCAGGAGGTTGAGATGGGAGGATTGCTTGAGCCCAGGAAGTTGAGGCTGCAGTGAGCTATGATTGTGCCACTGCACTCCAGCCTAGGTGACAGAATGAGGCTGTTTCAGGGGGAAAAAAAATAAAGAATACTCAGAGATGTTAGACTATTTATTCTGAGGACATATTAGACCCTTACTATCATTGTCTAGTTTTAATCGTAACATTTGAACTGTAACATTTTTCAAATTACCTCTTGAGGTTGCCCCCAGCTAAATGGTCCTAAAGGAAATTATTTTTGCATAAAAATTATTTTATAACAAAGTAAATTTAAAGTATCTGAATATCAACAGGTAACTAAATTTGGATATGTGTGACCACAGACATTTTCTCAGATAGGTGTGTGTGCCCTGAAGAAGTGTAATATCAGGAAACACACCTTGTAGATATTGGAAATATGAGTTTTTAGGGGGGGTATCATTAGCTGCTCTCTTCACTGTTTTAGACATTTGATACAAAATATTTTTAGGAATTCTTTATTCTTAATAATCTCAACCATATATATAAGCTTATTGCTCAGATATAAAAGCATTAGTGATCAACCAAAAGTTAATTCATATTATTCATTTATTATTTTCTATAATATATCTGAATATAATTGAATCGCATATACTTTTTGGTGAGACCTTTTCAGTGTAGGTTTGAAACTGGTTTTAAATCAATGTGATAGTTAGGAATGTGGGTTTACATTTCCATTTCACATTCATCATTGCTAGGCCTCTGTGAAAGTGTCGTTTATTTCTGTTTCACAACAAGAGCTGGAGAGAGAAAGCCCAGGGTAAAGGTAAGTAGGTATTACCAAAACCCCAAATAAAGACCTCTCCAAACAAGACCAGTTATAAAACAAGGCCCCTTCATCAAGAATCAAAAGATAACAATCTACTTTACCTCCTGTAGGATAATAGACTGTATGGGACCCAGATGAGAAATTTGCGAAAACACTGAAAATAAATTCAAGCTGATTTGGAAGAGTAAGTGTCTTTGTTTTACTACAAAACATTAAAAACAAATTGCATTTGGACCCTGCATAACTTACAAGTTATAGAAAGAGCTTCCAAGATGAAAAATAACTATAACAATAATTTTAAAATAGAAACTCTGAAGCATTTCCAAGACTATGCATTTGAGAAAAATGTTCCTCCTTAGTTAAAGGAGAATTCAAATAAAGAATAATACAAAAAGCTCTCGAGTGTTTCATGACTAAGCGTAACAAAGAACAATCAGCAGTCACACAGAATCTATTCTTATAAAATTCACTGCAACATTTAACGTATTTTATTACACAGAAGTTTGGGTATCTAGAGATAATCAGTCAATCCTGTTCTATTCTCACCTTGTTGGCAAACATCGCCTTTTATCACCTTGAGAGTCCATTAATCTACACAGCAAGTTGTCTAATAAAACTGTGGATTTCAAATTGCCCCAAATTCTAGATTCTGAAAACTTAAGTATAAACCGGCAGCAAAACAATGTTTTGAAAAATATATTAATTTACATGGCATTACTTTTTCAGCGTTCTAATTAAAAATATTAAGTACAGATTCTTTGCATTTCCTGTGAAAAATAAAGCTATCAATTATACTAATTCTATCTGGCCAAGAATACATGGTCAAAATTTTCTCACAACTTAATTCTTTGTGGCTAGTAACATGCTTGTAAAATTTACTTAGGGGTGATTTTTTAGTTAGTACAAAATTTTTCATTCAAATATAACAAGCTATTTAAAAGGAATTATTTAATAAATGTGTCATTTCACACCAAGTGCTTAAACCTAAAGCCTGTGATGCCACAACAATAACAGTGGGCAAATTTTTAAAATGGAAACATGGCTGTTGAACCTTTCATTTTTGAAGCAAAAGCACTGCCAAATTATTTCTTTTATACTAGGTTCTATATATTTCAATTTACAACCAAATGTATACCCTTCACTAAAAAAATTGTTGAAATAATAGAAAAATTATGTATGTAGAGATAAACCACGATTTTTCTTGTTACTGCATTTCTCATTTCATTGTAAGTGATGGGGCACTGCGGGCTGGTTTCACAGGAGCGAAGGAGACTACACTAGGGTCAGGGTTTCCTTGAGAGAGGCAACAAGAAAGAGTGAAAAATGTCACAGCTTGGAATTTGGCTGCTTAAATACATCCTCTGTTCTAGTCTTACAAGCTTTTCAGCTGGCAAATCAAAATCCTGTTATACACCAGGATAATATTCATGACAATTCTCTAGATTTTATCTTCTTAAAATCAAAGACTCAATTCTAAAGGGTTAATAGAGGAATTACAAAGTAACTCTCTAGTTTGCATTTCCCATAATGCTAAAATAAAGCTTTTTCTTTTAGTCTAGAAATTTGCTTTTTTAATACTGTGAAAAGCCTCTATGAATCTGTTTAACGTATTTACTTCTTTTCATCTATTCAATGTCACTGGGCATAACATGTAATGCAGTGCGTGTTGATATTTTGCAAAGCACCACATGACTCACTGTACCCTAATGCACTCCATTAATCCTGTTTGGACAGCTGGGTCCAGGCATTTGTTAGCTGTATTTTAATTGTCCCATCTTTCTTTTTTTTCTTTTTATTTATCTCTATGGCAAACTCCTCTGGAATTTAATTTGTTGGCCTTCAAAAAATAAACTTTATCATTAGTGTGTTTTCTTTGTATTAAAACTATACTCAGCATGTAATTCTCTTCCATAAAATCCGTATATTAATGATTAGCAATCAATCTTAAATAACAGTACAGTAAATGAGTTTCATAAGTGTTAAAATAATAGGGTGGTTGAAATATAACAAATTATTTAATAGACTGTCATAATATAAATGATAACATTTAATGTCAAGTCAGGTTACTAAAGAGGATACTTTTGGCATTTTCGAGATTCACACACCATAAGCAGATGTCAAAACAGCAAGTCGTTTAAAGCAAACACAACAGAAGGAAGACGATTACACACACCGGTTTTCTATCAGTTTATGGGACAGTGATCCCTTTCACATTTATATTTTATTTCCTATTAACACATGAAATCCTTTGTAAGAATTATGAAGATGCCTACAAAGCCTACACTTTCTTTGCACAGCCTGCATTCCCGATATCTGTAAGTCTTCAATAAATAATGGAGGCACTATGAGAGCTAACTCAAAAGCAACTCCAAGTTACCGGTAATTTTTGTTATGAGCAAGTAGCTAAAATTTAATGCTCAAAATTTCCCAGTCATTTCCGGGCACTCTGAAGGGAAAGCCTAAGTCTGGAGACTCAGAGAGAAACGCCTGATGGACATTTTTGCCTAAAATAATAGTTGGCGAAGAACTGAGAATACCGTCTACGATAGCATTTTATAAAAGACGACCAAGTGAAGACTTACTCAACGGTTTCAACGACAGAGTGAAAATCTGTTTTACTTTTAAAACATGATCCACTTCTCTGTAAACTGAAACATTAAGAAAATGACAAGAATGAATGACAGGCAAGCAGAAACTCTCAAGGGTGTCCTTTGAATCAAAGTGTTTTCTCAGAGGTTACACTACTTTCACCTCTATTTCGTGGACACAAAGCAGCTTAAAATCATTTACAGATTTTCAATTTTTTGAACCACATTAAATTATAAATGCTTAAAAACTCTTCTACAGAAAAATTAGTTTAACAAAGTTTCCTCACTAGAGGACTCAAAGGCCTAACTTATGAATGTGTCAGTAAAATCAAAACAAAACAAAAAACCTGCCCATTGTTTGGAGAAAGAACACTTTTAAGTGTTTACAAAATAAATGGTCTTTATTTGATAAAAGTATTGGTCTTGGTTTGGCCCTATACATAAAGTACAGAAGTAAAGGTGTAAAATGATGTAGAAAGAAACACTGTATTTCAAACGTAATCTTTTTGAAAAAGTTTGTAAAGTAAAAGTTAAATAAGTTTAGTAAAGACTGTTTTTAAAAACATGATCTTTAAGTAAAAATTTCTCATTCAAACTTACCCAGTGTTCTTGACATCACAGGCAGAGCGGAGCTCAAGACCAAGAGAGACACACAATTTCCAATGATCTGTTATGAGAAATGAGAAAGAACATTGGGCAGTTAAACAGCAGAATGACAATAAAACCCATCCACATTCTGAGAAATTATTGTGCATTCTAGTTACCTAGTGTACTTTGCCGATTTCTTAATGATACTTACTATTTAGTATAGAATTTTCAAAGAATAACAAACTTTTAAAATAGATATTTCAAGTTGTATCTGTAAGTTCTAGAAGATGTTTACAATACCTAGCACAAATACAGTTATAGAATACTTAAATTACTTGACACATAGACAATGCATTTTGCATTACTGATTGCAGTTGCTAGTTTCAAAAGGCTCTGCCTGTCAAGTAAACAATAATTAATATAGTAGATACTTCTGACTACATTTTTAAAGCCAGATTATTGCTTAAGATCTCTCCTATCACATCTATTTCTAATACGTTTATTATAAGATTTTAAAAGCACCTGAAATCCAAAACCTCTAAACTCTTGTAATGATGTATCCTATGTTTATTCTTCCATAGTAAATAAGAGGCATTGAAAATACTGATTAATATTTATGATCACTTAAACTACATACTAAATATCTCAACTACTTATTAAGTTTAAAGAACTAGCGCTGTGTGTGTGTGTGTGCGTGCGTGCATGTGTGTGTGTAAAATAACTTCTCCCCTTTAATAGGCTAAAAGTATAAAATAAAAACAAAATAAGCTTGAAGCTCTTATTAGTTATTCTTCTTTGTCAGCCTATGGGAATATTTTAGATTCAGTCACTATATACAGCCTTTTTATTCTGAAGCCAATGACAATGTTGCGGAAAAAGTCAAATTAGCCTCAGACTACAAAACGTTTCTGAACAGAACTCTTCCGTCTTACTTTAATTATTCAAATTTGAAACACTTTGTCTCTACTACTTGTAGCAACTAAGTTCTTCAGATTTCAAACAAGCTCCCTGAAGTACAGTTAGGACAATCAAAGTTACTCATTAGCAATACGTTTTCTTTAGAGGAAAAAGAGTCCTTTCAGGAGCCTTCTATAGCTAGTTAACAAGCTCTGCAGTTCTATGCACTGACAGTGAATGGACGTCATCCAAATTAAACAGGGTACATCCCTTTCCCACTCACTCAGCATTTTGAAAATCTTCCAGTTTTTGTTTACGCAAGTTACAAACATACCTATCACTGCGAATGAACCATTCAGGATGACTATTAAATAAAGCAGTCTGTCTGGGAAGGCAACAGAGAGGCCACAGTCACCTAAGACTCTCTTACCTTTGTCATAGTTGTGTCATCTTTCTTGGGAGTAAAGTTTCCAAAAAATCGAAGGCTATAGAAACCGACAACCGAGGACACCATAAGATAGCTGTGAGAATCAAGGAAAAACCTCTCCAACCGAATGCAAGTTTCTTAAGTTCTCAGCAGTCTGCAAAAAGTCTTAAGACCCATGAGAAAAACAAAACAAGACATTTTAAGTGTTTGAGGAAGACTAAACTGTTTTTTCTTCTAGACAAGTGTCTTAGTAAATAACCACTGCCCCAGAAAACTAGATAGAAAATTTGTGGATAGGCTGAACATTCAGTTAAAGAAAGGATACAAAATCAAAATGATTTCAAGCGCAGCTCCCACAAAACCAAACGTAGAAAGAGACGCATTTCCTATTCCAGGCCCCTGGAGTGGAAGAAAGACACTTTTCAGAATTTGATGACACCATTATATCGGTTTCCCTAAAACAGCTGTTTCATAAATAAAAAAGAGTTGAAATCAGGAATGTTGAATACTTTGAAACAACATCTAGACTTTCAGAGGCCAATAAAACATGACATCAGACTGATTTTATCAACAAATTCAGGCACCGTGTTAACAATTTTAACAAGCTCAAGAAAAATTACTTACCCCAAATGTAATTTAAGTTAATTGTCAGATGATATGATCATGCTTACTATTATAAAATGGGGCAACTTGCTACTGGAGGAAAAATAAATCCTGAATATTTTTGGGAAAGAGCTTTTAAAAAATACAATAGAAAAATAAGAATAGGAATAGAGCTATCTCAATCCTGAGGCAACATACAAAGATTACACAAAGTATGTCAAAATTAAGCTAACAGTAGAAAAGAGAGTAAATGTGCATATCCTGTTTCCATACCTGATAGTTTCTTTTTCCCAAATCTTCCTTGGGAATTCAGAGTTACAAAAGATATAACTGTTAACACAAATTTTAAAAATGTAATGCTATAAATTTTTTCCTAAATAACTATATCTATCTAAAAAACTATATCTAGAACTTTAGAAAAACACAAAAAGGTTAATATTTTTATAATGAGCTCTGAAAAAATCATTCCCTGCTGAAGAACAGTATTTTCAAAGATTACTAATAAAAGAAACTATCTGAATGTTTTACTAGTCAGCACAGGTTACCTCTAACAGAAGCACCAGGGATAATTAACAACGTACAGTCAGCCCAATAAAAAATAACTTTTTGACAATCTTTTGAAGAAGAAATAAATAATGCTGGTAGAAAGTGATGGGGTTCAGGACACACTAATCCAAAATATGGGACCTTAGTATTTGAGAAAACCTAAGAAGGTCACACACTGATCTGCCCCTTTTCTCCTGTGAAGCAGGCCATAAGACCCCCATTGGAGGGTGCCCTCCCCCCAACCCAGAGGAGAAGCACATGTTTATCTCTGGACACACAAGGACACTGAGAAGAATATGAACGGGCCTGGCTAAATTCCCCCAGTTTATAATCATTAGATCACACCCCCATCTTCCAATCATACTTCCCCATGACTGTCCACTCTTCATCAAACTTGAGCATAAAAATACACAGGTCTTTCTGTTTCTTTGGTCTTCTATGATATGTAAAACTTATCTTAAATAAATTTGTCAGCTTTTCTCTTGTTAATATGTCTTTTGCTATAGGCATCTCAGCCATGAACCTTGCAATAGGTAAGGAAACAATATTACTTCTTCTCCCCTACAAAGCTTATTGATCAACATAGAAAATATTTTGGAATTATGCTGTCTGAAGAGAAGGCATGTAGGAAGGATTAAGATGATCTAATTTTTTACACAATTATGCAGCGAGCTCCTATAACATACACATGATTCTCTACTAAGCACTAAGGGGGATGGGTACAAAACAGTAGGGGCTTGCCCCTGGTTTTGGTATGTCAGAATGGGTTAAAAGTGAAGAGGAAGTCAGTACAGTAAGTGACTTCCTGTGCTATCAGTGGGGTTGGGTATAAAACTAAAGAAAAAGATAGGACTGTATATGGAAAGGATAGTTTCTTATCCATCTGTAGGATGAGGCACCTGGAGCATGATGGTGCTTACCCTCAGGGGAGAGGCTGTAACTGAATGTAGCAACGGCAATAACAGCCGGCACAGGGTCCTGGAAATGCTGGGGTGGGGGCATCTGAATCAAGAATATGGCTAAAGGAATTTCATATAGCTAAATGAATCTCAGTAAAATCAAGATAAACTCTGGTAAGAAATCTAAAAGTAAACTCCAACACTTGAAAAAAGGCCCTGTCAATCTGAAGTAAAAAATCAGACACAAAAATCACAGTTTATTTATGAAGGCTCTGTGTGTAAAGAAATTCATACAACTTGAAGTATATACATGCACAAAGTTGAATGTTTTCATTTGCTTACTTGAAATACTCAGGGTATGGGCACAGAACACTTTTGCAAAAGAAAGACATTTTAAAGGATTTTACGTTACCCTTGTTCCTTTTGGCATTGCTGTTTCATCAACCAATAGGCAAAGAATATTACAAGCCACCAAGAGGACCGAGATGGACTACAAAACAAACAGCAAGCTGTCAGCTCTCAAGATTTTTTACCAACACAAAATATTAAAATCTAAGTAACCGAAAACTTATTTCAAAATAGAGGGAAAGCAGCCAAGACCAAAACACTATATATAAAACTAAAGTGATCAGACTACCAACAAGAACTGAAGAAATTCTAAAAGATTCTGCAAGTTATTGTAATTTCAAAGCTTGTGACAAAAGCTAGTAGTATAGATCCTTTTGGTAAAATATGATTGGAACTAATTTCATAATTTCATGTAATTTTCATATTTTATCACAGAATTTAAAGCAGGGCCTCAGCAACACCTTGTCGTTTTAATTTTCAATGACAACAAAGGCTGAATTTCCTGCTTTCATGAAGAAACAAATAATCTTCGGAATTTCTTAAAAACTGCTATTAATTTCCATTTTTGTTTTACTAGGTTTTCATAAATAAAGGCATAGATGGATTTTAATCCTGTTGATAGAATCCAGTTTACTAGAAACCATTTAGCTGAGGGAGCTGCCACACTCAAATGCTGAAGTAAATAAAGTAAAATTTGCTTTTATTTAACTAGGCAAAGAAATTCTTACTGTCTGAATAAGAAGGAGAATCATAACAGCAGGATACACCAAATTTCGTTCCCACGCTGAAGCCTTTTTCCGCCTCTCTATTAAAAGGAAAAACAAAACAGTTTTCTCCAGATTAACATTTTCATTCCATAATGCTATAATCTGTTTTTTACATAATTTCTTTTTTAAAAAACATAAATTACTTTTAATTTTCCCCCACAAACTATAAAAACTAGACATAGGGCCTCGCTGTGTCACCCAGGCTAGATAGAGCACAAGTGGTACAGCCACAGCTCACTGCAACCTCCCGGCTCAAGTGATCCTCCCATTTCAACCATCTGAGTAGTTGGGACTACAGGTAGGTGCCACCATGCCTGGCTAATTTATTTATTTATTTTTTTGTAGAGACAGGGTCTTGCTATGTTGCCCAGGCTGGTCTTGAACTCCTGAGCTCAAACGATTCTCCCGCCTCAGCTTCCCAAAGTGGTGGGATTTCAGGAATAAGCTAAAAATCATAATTTTAAAACCAGTCTAAAATACCTCAATTCTGTGATGCTTGAATTTCAGCTCTGTGAAGACATCTCAATTGTTAAGGAAATATATTGTTCATATACAGCTTCCTTTGAAAATATAGAAATACAGTAGGCCTCCTATAGCCACAGGTTGTGCAATACTTTTCTATCAAATAGGGATTTTGGTATCCATGGGGCTTCTGAAACCAGTTTCCCTTGAATACTGAGAACCTGCTGTATTTGCATTTGATATAGATCTACATATTGATATATATCCGAATGAATAAAGTGACATGAGTAAAAATCCCTTCTGTTCTGAATATCCCAAAGATAAACACTTCTGGTTTTCTGAAGGCTGAAAGCAAACTACTTTTACTTACAATGGACTGTGTTATAGCAACACCAATCCTCATGCTAAGAACAAGTAGAAAAGATAAATCAAACTTAATTTTTAAATAAATCTGTATGAACACATCAGAGAGCTACCAAGAAAATGAAAATTGAGGGGCCAATATTCTGTGCAGTGAACTGAGCTAAGACCTCCAATTTGTACCACACCTTCCACTGCCACGCATTTCCCAATATATAAATGGCATGGACCCAAGAGGTTGAGAAATCAGTGGTGAAAGGCAATGATTCTGAAGCAAACCTTTCAGCAAACTCAACAGAGCCAAGAAGACAGACACTGACATTTCGGGCCACCAATGCAGTCAAAATTTGAGAGGCTATGATCACAAGAAAAGAAAAGGGCAAGGAAGTGAGCCTGGCACACAGTGCCACTTTCCCTTCAAGGTATCAGTGGCTAAGAGGCTGAGAAGAACAACAGAAAGATGAAACTATGAGGCTGAGAAGCCAAGCAAAGCTCTGTCAAGCTCATGTTTCTTAAGAGGCAAAAACTAAAATTCATTGAGAAAATGAGGTCATAGTCAATAATTAGACAACCAGGCTTTCAATTAGGACCAATGAAAAGCTATACCCCAGGATGAAGGAAGGCCAAAGTGGAAAGAGAGCAGTCCTTATAAAGACCAAAACCTGGCCTTGAATGATCTCAAGCCTAATGGACTAGATTGATATAGCCCTACTCTGATTGTCTTCCAGAAGCAAAAGTAGATTCTCCCAAAAAGAAGAAAACAGCAGAGTTTCTATAGTTATAAGAAATATCTGGCATTCAATTAAACATTACCAGATATCGGAAAAAGAGTCCAGGAGTAGTGGCTCATGCTTGTAATCCCAGCACTTTGGGAGGCCAAGGCAGGCAGATCACTTGAGGCCAGAAGTTCAAGACCAGCCTGCCCAATATGGTGAAACCCCATCTCTACTAAAAATACAAAACATTAGCCAGGCATGATGGTGGGTGTCTGTAATCCCACTATTTGGGAGGCTGAAGCAGGAGAATCACTTAAATCCAGGAGGTAGAGGCTGCGGTGAGCCAAGATCGTGCTATTGCACTCCAGCCCGGGCAACAAGAGTGAAACTCCATCTCAAAAAAAAAAAACAGACCTCCAGTTGATCCACATGTTGGATATGTTGGATTTATCAGAAAAAGACTTTAAAATAAATGATTAACATATTCAGTACAATATATGACAAATGGAAAATTTTACAAGTAAATTTGAATCTATAAAAAATAAACAGAAAACCTAGAACTGAAAAAATAATGTAACTCAAATGAAGAATTCAATAGTTATGACAATAGTTACGACATAGCTGAAAGAAACCAAAATGGAAGACAGACCAGTAGAAAATATCACAGATTGAAGTATGAAGATAAGAAAGGAGATAAATACAGAAAACAATATAAGAATGAAAAAGTCTAGCATATGTGTAACTGCAGCCTAAGGAAATAAGAGAGAATGGGGCAGAAGCCATATTTGATAAGATAATAGTCAAGAATTTTCCCAAACAGATAGAAGACACCAAGCCACAGAACCATGAAGTAACACACAGACTTCAAGAAGGATAAAGACAAAGAAAACCAAATCTGAGCACATCAGAGTAAAACTGCTAAACAAAGACAAAAGGAAAACCTTTAAAGCCTCTCGAAAGAGCAACAACATGACTTTTAGCCAGAAACCAGAAGACGGTAGAATGCCATCTTTACAATACGGAAGGAAAACCACCCAACAGAAATGTTTAGTATGTTTTCCAACACACAAACACTCAGAGAATCTATTGCCAGCAAACCTGTGTTTTTCAAACAGAAGCTAAATGAACATTAGAAATGTAAAAATATACATACAATCAGGAACATATGAATTCAAATACCAATGAAACACCATTTCACATCAACTAAGTTGGTAAAAATGTAAAGTCCAACATTGTCAAGTATAGGCAAGGATATGGAGCAACAAGGAGCCCTCCTCATGCCTGGCAGGAATGCAGACTACTACAACTATATGAGAAAACCATTTGGCTTTATCTGCAAAGTTGCACAGGCACATATACAATGATCTTGCAGTTCCATATCCAGTATGTACCCTAAAAATACATATATGCCAAGAGATACATACCAGAATGATTATAGCAACATTATTCATAACAGCAAAAGACTAGAAACACATCTAATATCCACCGATTGCAGGACGACTGAAGTGACTTCAGGTAATGTATTATTATTAACAGAAATGAAAGTAAATGAACACCATATCTGATTTTCAAGAACATAACACTGGACTTCCACTTCTGAAGCTGCAGCAACAACAAGGGACCAGGTTTGTCATCCAGCCTGAAACAATTAAGAAACCAAAAAGTACACATATATGAAACAACAGTTTTCAAGACACTGGACATCTGATCGTGGAAGAACAATGATGCCTGAGACACAGAACAAACCACACAGTCCTTTCTGACCCAGCTTAACGTCTTGAGAGTTTCCAGGCCATGATGTAGGCAGGAGCACCACAAGCTGAGCACAGCTCATCCCTTGAGTTGAGAGCATGAAATGGGAATCTCGGGAGACTAAGTCAGCTGGAGTCTGCACAGCAAAGTGCCAGAAAAAGAACTCCAGGGTCTGCCAAGAGTCACCCTTGAGTATTCAGTAAAGAATTCAGTAAAAAATTCTCAAGTATATTGGCTCAGGCATGTGAAGAAACAACCCATGGCTGAAGAAAGAACCACCCAAAAATATGAGAGGAAACAGCATAATCACAAAAGTACAAGACAGTACAGAACCTCATCAATCACAGGACACTGGACAGAGTTCGTAGAAGGGTCTTGCTTTAGCAGTAGGGAAGACTTAGCCGTAGGTGCAATGACCCCCTAGTCCAGTCTAAAAAGTCTTCAGAACAAGACTCAATAATATCAAACTGTTTCCAGGTAACTTAACTGCATTCCAGAACAAAGTTCCTCACTTGCAGAAATACTGTAAGTCGCCAGGTGTCATGGCTCACTCCTATTATCCCAGTACTTTGGGATGCTGAGTGGGCAGAACACTTGAGTCCAGGAATTTGAGACCAGCCTGGCCATCTCTACCAAAAAATGCAAAAAATTAGCCAGCTGTGGTGGCATGCACCTGTGGTCCCAGCTACTCAGGAGGCTGAGGTGGGAGGATTGCTTGAGCTGGGGAGGCAGAGGTTGCAGTGAGTTGAGACTGCACCATTGTACTCCAGCCTGGACAACAGAGTGAGACTCTGTCTCAAAAAATAAAAAATGAAGAAAAAAAAAAAGAAATACTATAAGTGAGGCATCCAACAAGGTAAAATCTCACCTGACAAGGTAAAATTCAAAATGTCTATTTTCTAATAAAAAGTTCCCAGGCATGCAAAGAAGCACAAAAATACTACTGATTGAGGAGAAAAATCAATCAATCAAAACATATCAACAATTAATACAAACGTTAGAAGCAGCAGACAAAAACGTTAGAAGTGCTGTCATAACTACACTCTAATTTTCACAAAGATGGAGGACACAGACTGAATGTGTTAATTAGAGACATAACAGAAGATACAAAACAGGCCCAAAAGGACCCTCTAGAGATGAAAACTGAGTTGTAGAAAAACTAAAAAGCAAAAACCACTAGATGAGATTAAAGGCAGATTTGACATGCAGAAGAAAAGATTAGTGCAAGTGACACAGCCATAGAAACTAACCAAAATGAAACACAGCAAAAACAAACAAACAAAACCTAAAAAATATAGCAACATCCTTGAGCTACAGCCTCAAATACTTGTAATTGGAGTCCCTGAAAAGGGAAGCATGAAGGGGAAAGAAAAAATATTTGAAGAAGTAATGGTCAAAATATCTCCAAACTAGTTGAAAACTATAAACTCCTAGCTCTAATAAACATGAAAGAAAACTACTTTAAGGCATATCACAATGAAACTGTTCAAAATCAATAATAAAGACATCTTAAAAGCAGAGAGAGGGAAAACAGACGCATTAAAAGATAAGTATGACAGATGACTTATCAGAAATAATGTAAGTGAGAAGGCAATGGAGTAACATCTTTGAACATCAACCTTTGAAAAGTCATTTTGTATATACATAAAACAAAAAGTCAGTAAATATAAACTTATCCTCTCCCCAAACTAAAAGATAGTCTTTATTAATGATTTGGGGCAGGTTGAAAGTTTTAACATAAAGATTTCATAAATTTTCTGATGTTTCAGACACAGTAAAGTCTTTAATAAGAAACCAAGACCAATAATACATAAGTCAAGGAAAAAAAGTACAATACCTAATTTTGACTTAAGAGTCCTCACATTTTCAAGTTCTTGTTCCAACTCCATTATGTTGTATTCCACTGATGAAGACAGCCCTATTCAAAGCAAAAATATTTAGAAGGATAACAGAACCCCTAACACTATAGAACAGGTAGCCCTTTAATTAAAATATAAAATAACACATTACGCTAATTGAAAATAAAAACAAATGCTGCTGTGATTAAGAGGAAAGCACATCCATATATTTACCAATGAAAACTTCCAAGTTCTTGCTGATTAAACACTACACAGAGTGATACAGTGGACTGTGGAGACTCAGAAGGGAGAGGGTTGGGTGGGGGCAAGGGATAAAAAAGCTACATATTGGGTACAATGTATGCTACTCCAGTGATGGGTGCATTAAAATCTCAGACTACACCACTATAAACCACTACAAACCACTACACATCCATGTCACCCCAAAAGCTATGGAAATAAAAACATTAAAAGTAAACACCACGTTTCCAAGAAAATTTTTTAATGTGGTAAAGTTCTAATTTGAACTTTATAACATTAAATAAAAGCACTGGCACCCCAAAAACTATGGAAATAAAAACATTAAAAGTAAACACCACATGTTTCCAAGAAAATTTTTTTAATGTGGTAGAGTTCTAATTTGATCTATTAATCATCTTTTCTTAATTACAGAAACATATTGAGCTTACTATAAAAAGTGAAAAAAATCAAGATCTCCTTTTCTCCATCTCACCTTCTTAAAATAACAATCAGCTTGGCTGATGCTTCCATAGCTTCCCTCACATTCAGAACCACATTAATGGTTTTTATTTTATATGAAAGGGGTCAATCAGACATATTACTTTGCCATTTGCTTTCCAAGTCAATTACATGTCCAAGTTGAGAGCTGAATAGCATTCCATAGTACAGATGTTCTACAACTTTATGTAGAATTATTCCCTTTACAAATATTCAAGTTTTCATCTTTTTTTGCCACTATAAACAGTATTGCAATAAACATTCTTGTATGCATATCCAGTACATTTTGGTTATAATATTTCTGTAAGAAAGATTCCCAAAACTTAGATTGCTGAGTCAAAGGGCATGAACATTTACAGGTTACTTCCCCAAAACATTGTAATAGACTATTGTAATAATTTACATTTCTATCAATAGCTTTGAAAGTGTCTATTTTCCAATATCTTCCTGAGCACTGGATGTTACAGCTCTTGAATGCTAGCAATGTAATGGGTGAAAAATGTTTTCTTATTGCCACTTTAACATGCATTTCCCTAAATGTGGTTGAACATATTTCTGTATGTTTAACACCTAAATTTTCCCTGTTCATATTTCCAGCTTGTTTCTCTAATGGCAGATCTTTGCATTCTTTCTATTTTGTCTGTTAAATTCCGAAATAGAGAAATTAAAATTCCCACTATAAGTGGACTTTGAGTTCTCTCAGTTTTTAAGAGTGTCTTTTTTTTTTTCCATTAAGCATTTGTATTTGACTGCTGAGACTGAGGGATTCTGTTTGCTAGGGGGTCGTTTTCTTTTTTTCCCCATCCTAGACTGTTACATCCTCCTTATGAACCATATATTTTATCATTTCATAACGACCCTGTTTGTTTTTAATGCTTTTCAACTTAAATTCTGTTTTGTGGACTAAGTTCTACTTTGTTTTTACCTACCTTGCTTGCATACATTTATACACACACCTTTAATTTTAAACTTTCTTTTTCCCTTATCCAGCCGAATCTTACTTGAGGTTTAATCTATATCAGTTAGAATTCATTGGCTATAGGCAACTGAAATAGACTCACTAGTTAAAACAGAAAAGGAATTCAGAAGATAGAACCAGTAGGAAAAGTTTCCAGTAAAGAAAGTAGAGGAAATGGGCAGCTGGGAGTTGCAGGTGGCAGAGCAGATGGACAGTCTCCTCAGACGGTAACAGCTGGGATGACTCAGTCCGAGTACTTTCCATCTGTATGTCACTATGATTAAGAATAAAAGTCTAGGAAGCAGGCGTCCTAATGGCATAGCTTAGAGTCACATGTTGGTTTCTTGGAGAGCCAAGAACTTTGATGAGTAGTTCCACCAATCTCATCTAGCCAGGGAAATCGACAAATCCAAATCAGGTACTTTACTAAAAAAAGGGCAACAGATGCTTGTAGCAAAAACAAGGTTGAATACAGGTTGAAAATCCAATATGATAACCTGTTCTTTCACAGTCAAATTCAGTCCATTTACACTTAGCTAAATACAGAGCTTGCATTCAGTACAATTTAGTTCAATAGCTGATAAACTTCATTTTATACTTTCTATATTTTAAGTATTTTTTTAAAACTCTGTCTTTATAAAATAAAACATGCACATTAGTTCAAAGTGTCAAACACACGCACGGGTTTGCCATCATGTCTTCTCCCTCCTGAATCCACTTTCCCAAAAGTCGCTGTCCAGCTGGTTCTTCTGGCATTTGTCTGCCTACTGCAACTTCTGGATGTCCTGCGCAGAGCATTCCCACTGTGGCAAGTGAGGAGGCGAGTGTCTGAGCCACACACCTCTTCACTCCTCCCTTTCTCTCGATTTGGCCACAACAATCATTTTAGCTAGATTGATATTCAATGTGTACATTATTATAACAACTAAAATGTTCATCCACAAAGTCAACTATGACCAGCTGTGCTTCCTTCCTTAACATTCTTCCCACCCTGAGAATTAGCAATGATTTCTTTTTCTCTTAATTAGTTCTCTAATCTAACACGTACTTAACACAAATTCAAACCCAAAACATCCTGCCAAACGTCTTTACTTTCCCTTGGTTTTTATATTCCTCGGTTATACTATCAACTTCATTTTCTTGAAGAAATTTCTCCTGGTGTCTTTAGACCTGCCCACCCTGGATGGACTGCCCTCTGTGCCCCCGGCCCCTCACCCTGGGACTGCCTGCCCGCACCTCCTGTGGGGCGTCTCTTATTTCCTATACAGCCCATATCTTTTCTTATTTGCTCCCTTGTGTAGATGGTGCATATCCTCCAGTGGTTTGCTAAGAAAAGCTGAATGTGAGGTAAATTTTTAAAGACTATACGAGTCTGAATGCTTTACCTTTGCTCTTACATTATAGTTTCAGTATAAAAATCAAGGTCAAAACTAATTCTCCTTCAGAATTCTGAAGGCATTGCTTCATTCTTTTTGAATGTGAATTGCTTTTTATTTCCCTTTCAAACTACGTAGGATCTTTGTCCCCTGTGTTCTTGCTGAGAGTGTTTTCATGTATTGTGTTGGGCACTAGATGACCCTTTTCAATCTCCAAGTTCATGTCCTTTTCTTGATTTTGTCACTTCCTCCACCACATTTTCTCTCTTCTATTTGGAACTCCTATAAGTTGGACATTGGATCTCCTAAGCTGGTTCTCTAATATTTTTAATTCTTCTCTCCTATTTTACCTATTTTTATCATTTTGACCTATCTTCTGGAAAAGTTCTTCACCTTCCAATCTTTTTGCTTTGTTATTTCTGAATTTCAGGAATGCTTTTCTGCTCACTGAATATTCAATTTTTATGAAACCTGGTCTTTCTCGTGAATGCAATCTCTATTTCTGCCTGGATATTGACGGATTTGTTTTGAGACATTCTTCTCCCATGCATATTTTATCTCCGCCAAGCACTCCCGTTTGATGCATACAGGAGGCTTTCCTTGGATGTCTGGTGCACCTTAGTTGTCTGCTCATATTTAACACTGAAGCAGTAGGAGGGCGGAGCAAGATGACTAAACAGAAGCCTCCACTGATTGTCGCTGCTGCAGGGGCACCACATTTTAACAACCACACACAAAAAAGCACTGTCATAAGAAATAAAAATCAGGTGAGCACTCAGAGTACCCGGTTTTAACTACATATTGCTGAAAGAGGTACTGAAGAGGGTAGAAAAGACAGCCTTGAATTACCGAAGCCAACCCCTCCTCATTCCAGCAGTGGCCGTGTGGTGTGGAGAGAAACTGTATACTTGGAGCAGGGAGAGCACAACAAATGGGAGACTTGGCATTGCACTCAGTGCTGCCCAGTCACAGCAGACAGCACAGCTGTGCTGGGCTTAGCCAGTGCACACCCACAGAGGGAGCATGTGGACCAGCCCTAGCCAGAAAGGAATTGTCCATCCCAGTGGTCAAAACTTCAGTTTTTCAGCAAGCCTCACCATCACGGGCTACAGTGCTCTGGGATCCTAAGTAAACTTGAAAAGCAGCCTACGACACAAGAACTGCAATTCCTAGATAGCCCTGGTGCTGGGCTGGGCTTGGAGCCAGTGGACTAAGGGCAGCCCATGACCAGGCAGAGTGGCTAAGGGAATGCTTGCAACACCGCTCCTTCAATCCCAGGCAGCACAGCTCACAGCAAGGAAAGTGACTTCTTCCTTCTGCTTGAAGAGAGGAAAGTGAAGAGTAAAGAGGACTCTGTCTTGCATTTTGGATACCAACTCAGCCACCGTACAATAGGGCACGAGGCACAGTCATCAGGGCTCTATTCTAGGCCCTAGCTCCTAGATGACATTTCTGGATATATCTGGGCCAGAAGGGAACCTGCTACCTTGAAGGGAGGGACTCAGTTCCAGCAGGATCTATCACCTAGTGAAGAGCCCCTGGGCCCCAAAGATCCAGGAGTGATACCCAGTTAGTATGCTATGGGTCTTGGGGAGACTCTGAGACACGCAGGCTTCAGGTCTGAGGCAGCACATTCCCGGCTATGGTGGCTACAGTCAAAGACTCCTTCTGCTTTTAGAAAAGCAGACGGAAAAGTAAAGGGTACTATGTCTTCCAGCTTAGGTACTAGCTTGGCCCCAGTGGGATAGAGTATCAGGTGAGCTCTTGGGGCCCCTGAAACCAGGCCTAGGCTAGTGAACAGCATTTATAGACCTGCCCGGGACAGAGGGGAACCCGCTGCCCTGGCAGCATTCACCACAAGCTGACTGCAGAGCCTCTGGGCTTTAAGTGACCATTGGCAGCGGCCTGGCAGAACTCCCCATGGGCTGGTGGTGGTGGTAGCCTTTGGGAGAGTCTCCTCAGCCTGTGGAAGGAGGAGGAAAGAGTAGGAAGGACTTTGTCTTGTGGTTTGAGGGCCTGTTTAGCTGTAGTAAAACAGAACACCAGCTAGATTTCTAAAGTGTTTGACTCCAAACTCTGCTTCCCAGACAGCATCTGTGGACCAGCCCTGGGTCTCAGGGAACTTTTCACACTGAAGGGAAGGATACAACCTGGCTGGCTTCCCCCCTACTGATCATAGAGCCCTAGGGCCTTGAGAGAACACAGGCAGTAGCAAGCAGTGTTTACAGTGGGCTTGGAGCGGAACCCAGTGCTGTGCTGTCTTCAGGTCTCACCCAGCACAGTCCCAATGGTGGTGGCCTCTGGGGTGCTTGCATCACCCTAACCCCAGCTCTAGGAAGCTCAGCACAGAGAGATGCTTTATTTGGGAGAAAGTAACAAGAAAGACAACAACAAGTAACAAAGAACAAGAGTCTCTTCTTGGCAATCCAGAGAATTCTTCCGGATCTTATCTAAACCCACTGAGGCATGACCACTATGACTCTGCAAGAACGACAGCATTAATGGGCTAGGGGCCCAAGTTCCTTTGAATATCCAGAAAGGCTTCCCAAGAAAGACAGGCACATACAAGCCCAGACTGTGAAGACTACAACAAATACCTAACTCTTCAGTGCCCAGATATTGATGAATGCCAAGAGTCAGGACCATCCAGGAAAACAGAGATATACAACCTTTCAGACAGAATTCAAAATGCTTGTTCTGAGGAAACTCAAAGAAATTCAAGATAATACAGAGAAGGAATTCAGAATTTTATAAATTTAACAAAGAGATTGATATAATTAAAAAGAATCAAGCAGAAATTCTAGAGTTGAAAAATTCAACTGACAGAAGAATACATCAGAGTCTCTTAATAGCAGAACTGGTCAAGCAGAAGAAAGAATTGGTGAGCTTGAAGGCAAATTTGAAAATACATAGTTGAGAAAAAAGAATGAAGCAAGCCTACAATATCTAGAAAATAGCCTAAAAGGGGCAAATCTAAGAGTTTTTGGTGGCAAAAAGGTGGTAAAGAGAGAGATGTTAAAAAGTTTATTCAAGGGGAGAATATCAGAGAACATCCCAAACCTAAAGAAAGAAAGGATTTCAGTATTTTTATATCGAAATGTAAGAACAACAAGGTTATGGAACACCAAGTAGATTTAATTCAAAGAAGACTACCTCAAACAATCAAACTCCCAAAGGTCAAGGATAAAGAAAGTATCCCAAAAGCCATAAGAGAAAAGAAACAAATAACATACAATGGAGCTCCAGTATACCTGGTAGCAGATTTTTTTTTTAATTGCGTTTTAGGTTTTGGGGTACACATGCAGAAGAACATGCAAGACAGTTGCATAGGTTCACACATGGCAGTGTGATTTGCTGTCTTCCTCCCCTTCACCCACATTTGGCATTTCTCCCCAGGCTATCCCTCCCCAGCTCCCCCCACCCGCTGTCCCTCCCCTATTCCCCACAATAGACCCCAGTGTGTAGTGCTCCCTTCCCTGTGTCCATGTGTTCTCTTTGTTCTTCACCCGCCTATGAGTGAGAATATGCGGAATTTCATTTTCTGTTCTTGTGTCAGTTTGCTGAGAATGATGTTCTCCACATTCATCCATGTCCCTGCAAAGGACACGAACTCATTGTTTTTGATGGCTGCATAATATTCCATGGTGTATACGTGCCACATTTTCCCAGTCCAGTCTATCATCGATGGGTATTTGGGTTGGTTCCAGGTCTTTGCTATTGTAAACAGTGCTGCAATGAACATTTGTGTGCATGTGTCCTTACAGTAGAATGATTTATAGTCCTTTGGATATATACCCAGTAATGGGATTGCTGGGTCAAACGGAATTTCTATTTCTAGGTCCTTTAGGAATTGCCACACTGTCTTCCACAATGGTTGAACTAATTTGATTTTTTAGTAGAAACCTTGCAGGCCAGGAGAGAGTGGCATGACATATATAAAGTGCTGAAGGAAAAAAACTTACACCCTAGAATAGTATATCTGGTGAAAATATCCTTCAGGTATGAAAGAGAAAGACTTTCCCAGACAAACAAAAGCTGAGGCATTTCATCAACATCAGGCCTGTCCTACAAGAAATGCTAAAGGGAGTTCTTCAATCTGAAAGAAAAGAATGCTAATGAGCCATAAGAAATCACCTGAAGATACAAAACTCACTGGTAATAGTAAGAAAACACAGAAATATTCTAACACTGTAATTATGGTGTGTAAACTCCTCTTATAATAAGTAGAAATACTAAGCGACAAACCAATCAAAAATAATAATTACAACAACTTTTCAAGACAGAGACAGTAGAGTAAGACAGAAAGAGAAACAACAGAAAGTTTCTACAGTGCAGATTAAAAGTGTGGGGATGAAGTTAAAGTGTAGAGTTTGTATTAGTTTTCTTTTTGCTTGTTTACACAATGTGTTAAATTGTCTTCAGTTTAA